CCAAAGCTCTGTTCTCGGCACAGTGCTCACCTCCTCCTGCCTTTAGAAACGAAGCTGTAAATCTGCGTACCGAGGTAGGAAATGGGCTGCTGAGAGTTTCTGAATGTTTGCTTGTCTCTGCTGAGCCTTAACAAGGACTTTTATGCAGGGATTCGGGATGTTCTTGACAGACGCAATGAACAGAATCCCATAAGCCCTGGGTTATCTTTGGCTGGATAGCCTTATATTTAGTTATTTGTTTTACATTTGGGTTTTTTTCCTCAGTTCCTAATAGATTTCATCACATGACTAAAAATACCGTATTTAAGTAAGTTCTGGGGAAGCAGCTCAATCTGTCCAATCAGTTTTGCAAACTAAATCAAAGTGTAAAAACCTCTTGTCCTCTCCTCCATTAGCCGCTGGCTTAAGGAGCACAAAACATACAGTAGTGAACACAAATTGGTGGGAATGTGGATAAGGCATTTATAAAGTAAAGCAGCAGATTAGTCTCGTTCCTACCATGTAGGTGAGTTTTGCTGCTTCCCAGAACTGGCAACTAGAAGGCAGAAAAAAGCCATTCAGGGGCTGGACCCGTTCAGATGAAGGGAGCAAGTTTGATTTGTTTCTTTCAGATGCAGTTTTGATCTCAGGTGGTGATGAGAGCAAAGGAGCCCCTGAAGTGGCTCAGAAATGCAACATGAATCAAGTGGAGGAGTTCTTAGTGTGCAGGAGACACGTTGGCTGCAGGCAGGGTCTGGAAATGTTTTTGCTGTGCTTTGTGCATGGAAGAGCTCATATGATGCTATTTTAAGTGTATCTTTAATCCTGCCTATTAATTGAGTAACCTTATCTTAATTATCTTTCAGTGTAATCATCTGACCTAATTCCTTATGTGAAATTACCTTTTTTTTTTCTGGTTGTGCCTTGCAATATCTGTCGAAACCCTTCTGCTGCTCACCAACTTTTAAATATTTATTTTCATTTGCTAAAACCTCACTAAACAGGTCAGTGATGTTTCTCTTCTCACAAAGTCACAGTGCTGCTCTTTAACATTTCCTTAATACTGTGCAATTTGAATTTTAGGCTTCTGGCCAAGACAAGACGATCAATTTGTGGAGATATTTTGTTAAACTAAAAACAATTAGAAATATCTGATATATGAGGCATTTTTAAAAATTGTTAAATGATGTGCCATAACCAAGCAGGATTTTGGAGTGTGCCCTTAAGGTGTTTGGCTTTTAGTATAGCTACAGTGTGGTGGTTTTTTGTTTTTTGTTTTTTTTTTTTCCTCTCTGTGGAAAAGATGCAGAGTTCACAAAGACTTAATAGCTGCCGCTTAAAGACAGGGAGATCTTCCCCTGCCAAACTTACCTTGTTTCTGATACTTGTTTGGTATTGTGTACAGGTCTGGGTTTGTAAAGGAAGCTTTTGGATATATGGATCAAGGTGGTGTAATCCTGCTTTGCAGGACAAGGATTCAGGACGTGAGTGTGAATTCTTGACTTTGCTGGATAAGAAGAGGCAGCATTAGACCCTACTTGGAATGGGTATAGTGTAGATGCAGTTGAAACTTTGCCCAGGAGATGCAGTTAGCAACTCAGTTTAGAAGCATCCTGTAGTTCTTGCAAGTAGCTTTCAATAACTTTTCCTCGGTGCTGCACTGCCAGCACAGCCCTACATTCCCCAAGCCTGTTGCCATAGCTTGTAACCTTTTTCCCAGCCTGCAGCAATCAAAGGACCCATCGCAGACCCATTTCCTATGGGCTTGTTCTCCAGAGTGAGGCCCGCAGTTTAACCCATAACCAACAAATTTGCATTAAAGCTGAGAATCCTGGATTAGTATTTAAAGATAAACAGCCAAGTAGGCATCATGCTTTTTTCTCATTCAGGATTTCCAGTGCAAAAAGCTTTGAATTCCAGAGAGCAGCTCACCAAAACAGCTTCCCTGAATTGTTACTGTCATTAAGAGCTCAAAGCTTTGATACTTTAATATACAGAAAAATAGCTTTACTTTCATACTAGAAGTGTGCTTTGTTGTCCCTGTTGGAAATGCTTGTTTCATAAAACTTTACATTTATTTTGTCAGGCAACAGGGTTGTTCTAGGCAGGGAAGTGAGATGCTGCCTGTTCTGTGCTGCTCTGACCCTGGGAGCAGCAGTGCTGTGGCTGCAGGCGATGGTGCCTTAGAAGGTAGCACGACTTTTAGGCTTTCCCTACCATGGGGGAAAAGCTGGGAGATCGTGGGATAGCTGTTAGGGCACAAGTGTGGGTCGCATGCTGCCCACATGCCAGTGGATATATGTGATGTATTTAGGGTTTCTTGCTGAGGATTTTGCAAATGAATTTTATTGGTAAGAACGTGAATGTAAACTCTTGCTGTAACTTAGAAATTTTATTGAGGGCTTTTTCTGTCAATATTATAGGAAATTTATTTATGTGTTGCACACCCAAAGTCTAACATATACTCCTAAGTGTTTTGCATGTCACTATAGGTAACTGCATTGACAGTTCAGATTTTGTCCTCTTTTTAATTCACTAGTGCATTAATTTAAAATATTTGTATATATATATATATAACAGAAATCAAAATTTTAGTTAATACTATCTTCTTCTAGTGAAAGAAAGACTTGTTCTGGGAATTATTTCCTCATCCTATGCTGTAGCAAAAAATTACAGTGTATGTTGTATTTAACACTGTGTTCTGAAGCTACTACTTTAGAGACTACATCTTGACTGAATGTTTGATTGGATTATTTTGCTTATTGCATTCTTGCTATTTTCTCAATATTGTGACTAAATTTATTTAGTTACAGTAGTTACAGACTTTTTTTTTCCCCCTTCAATATCCTGCAGTCTGATATGTGTAAGGGGAAGGTCTTATCGGTACCAAAAGATAAGGAAAGTGATTGGAACATACTGGACCCTCTGCTTTTCCTCCCTCCCCCCTGCAGCTTGCTGAGGGCCTGGTGCTGGTCACTGGTCTGGAGTTCCCAAGGAAAGCTATTAGGCTATTTTTGGAAGACCTCTTGGAGCAGTTCATAGATAGCTGCTGGACTAATGGAGAAGGTGGATTCTGTTGTTTTTTTATTCCTTGCACTCTTGCCTGCGCTTGTGGAAATTAAGTTCTTATTGTGCTGAAAAATCGGAAATGTACAAGTAATGACTCACTCAGAACATGGCATTATTTTTGCAGCATAGTTGTCTAACAGATCCTTCTTTTCTGAACAAAAACTGACCAGGATCTGTTTCCAAGGGGGAAAATCATTCTTAAAAGGGAGAGGATGCTGCTGCTCTTACCAGGAGCAAGAGTTCCTTGGCAGGTTGTGCTGGGATTCAACTTGTGTCTGAGGTGGCACAGCAGCAATGCTTCTCCCAGTCTGTAGGGTGGGAATGGCGGTGGCATTTTTCCCTTTTTTGTAGTTATTACTATTTATTTGTTTAATAATTCTAGAACTTCAAGGTAAGGTTATAAGTAGCATATCAAACCAAATCGAACACACATACGGAGTATTTGGGGCTGGTAGGTTATGGTACTCAAACCTAAACTGTGGCCACTGTGATCTTACTGCTTCATATTTTTCACACAAAATAATTGTATAAGTTTTAAAATCAGAGTGTTTTGAATTGTCCAACTTCAAAGCTGCCTTCTTTTTGGAGAAGCTAATGAGAGAGAAACTTGGAATGAAATTAAAGCTAGAAATTGAATTGGATTTATAAAAACAAACGGCAGCGTTAAGATGGACTTATTCACGAGGAGAACAAAAGAAATGTCTCTCTCGTGGCTCTCTCCGAGGCTGGTGCTGGTACAGAACTGAAGTGTCTTGAACCAGAGTGCTGGGCTCCCTCCTGAAGAGTGTCGACAGTCAAAGGGCACTTCATGATTTATTTGAATTTCTGAGACTCCACTTCAGATCCGTGTGACTGTTTCCTGAACATATTGTGATCTCTGAATGTGACAAGCAGATGCTTCTGATGGTTAAGCAAACAGTGTTTGTGAAAGACTTCTTTCTTATGAAATGGCAGATACATCCTGCAGGCAGCGATGTTCCTACACTGCTATTTGCAAGTCAGCTGTGCAGAAATACTGGAAGGCTGTGTCAGTGATAGGATGGAAAACCAAGCACTAGAAAGTGGTAGGAAATAGCACTAAGTCAAAATGGAAAGAAGAAATTCCCTAGAAGTGCTTTCTCAAATGCTTCATGTAAATACTGCTGCAGATTCCATAATATTTTATGTTTCCAAGGACAGGCCTTGCTGCCTGCCCTTGGATGCTGACCGTGTCCCACGCTGGAGCAGGGGCAAGTGAGAAGGGAAGGCTGTGCTCAGAAATCAGCATACGGTGCTCAGATAGGGCAAGTTGTGTGGTGAGCTTGTTAAACCCTGAGCGTTTTGAACATGTACTGCTTTCCATGAGAGTCGCGTGCAGTGATGAGGGAAATAAGGCTCAAGGAAAAAAAAAAAACCAGACGTTTCCTGTGTTTTCATTGTAGTTCCAGGAGATGGGAAGAAAAGAAGTTACATGCTTTTCACAGAATAAAAGAAGCGCTGATCTGCGTAACTAAACTGTGCTGCTGCTTTAGGATTCTTCACTTATCACATCAATACTGAAACCATTTAGGGCTTAGTATCTCATTATTTTTTCCACATTTGAAAGCAGTGATGGTTTTTGCTATTGATGAACTTAAAATAAAGACCTGCTAAGGCATTTTGTGCAAAAAGGACTCTTGTATGGTAACATTTGCAGTCCTGACCGTGTTCTGTGGGATTTGCCTTGTTCTCAGAATTGTCAGTGCTAGTAAATGTCACTCAGATTACACGTTGCAGTGAAGGTTGTTTACATGTTCCCTAGTTTTGTGCATTCAGAACTTTTTATTAATTTTTTATTCCTTTTGAGCAATAAATATGCAGGAACAGCAGTTTTTCTCTTGTGGAGTATTAGAGATTCTCTTCGATCCTGTTACCACTTCATAAGATGTGTTAATCTGGCTTATGTAATTTGAATTCTCTTCTGCATTTTTCAGGTACAAGCCTTTCTTCCCATTTCAAGTGTCATCACCTGATGAGTATGAAGATCGAGACCTCTGCATACAGGATTTACCCCTGACAGAAGGTCGACTAAAAGTCACATTAATTGAGTGTACAAGGTATCTATTGTGGGCTTTTGCTTATCTTTATTAAGCAAATATGTATGCTTCTGAATCATGGGAATTATAGCTGTACTGATTCAAGAAGTGGCATCTTTGGTGTAATGATTGAGCTCCAGTTTAGAAATATATTTTGAAAATAAAAAAAAAATGAACAAATGGAAGTTGCTGCAAGTTTGAGGTGCTTCTACATTGTGTGCGTACAAATGGATTTCTATTTCTTATGAATTTAGTCTAGTTAGAGGCTCCTGTTTTCTTCTAGTTTGGCACACCGAATTATGAATCTCTTTCAGGACAGTGTAAATGTTGTAATTATCCTATTGTATTATGCTGTAAGTACAGGGGAATAATTGTTTCATTCAGTCTTACTTTGATCCAAATAACTTTCATGAGGCATAACTTACTGCCTTTGTCTTGAACAAAATAATGGAAACGAACAAAATCTATTTTCTTTCTTTACTGAAGAGAAAACTGTTCTCTTTAAAACTGGACCAAGTGTGCAGGCTTCTTGTTTTGTTTGTTTTTGTCAGACCTCTTAGTTCCTGGTTTGTGTTAGATCTTATCTTAGTAGTGCTTAGGCTTTGATCTATCCTTGTGCCATTCTGCTCCTTACGAACTAAACACTGGTTTATGCTGATGTTATTTTTAACTCTTCATTAGTTATATTACTATGTGAGTTCCATTTAGCATGCCTTTTTTTCCTGTAGCCTTGTATAACTATGTTGGAACTGTATTTGCTGTAATAATGTCTTTTATCAGTGCTACTTACCATTCAGAACAAGCTTATTTCTAGAAAGTGTTATACTTTGAAGGACTGTGTGGGGCACAGCAGTGAATCTTTAACACTTTTTTGGAAAGAATTTCTACTTACCTGAATTCCAAGCTTTGTGATATGTTCTCTGTGAGCAACCAGTAATTCCAAATGATTTGATACATTCCTTGGCTGTTAAGAACCATTCCTCTTCACCCACACCGAGTAAGGAAACTCAATCTCTTCACAGACAGTCTCTAATTTCAGTCCAGTAGTGTGCTCGTTTTTATTCTAATAGGACCCAAAATAACTACTTTTGAGCTCTGTGCAGTTGTTTTGACTTTGGAAAGTCACTTTTAAGTACTTTGTCTTTCCTGAATATGAAATGCTGTGTAACATTGCCAGCGTATCAGCAGTGTTTTCTTTCTTTCCGTTACCTTCTAGAAGCCAGATTGCTCAGTTTGACATCATCATCTGACCTTTCAGTATTTTCAGCTGTCACAGATGCTTATCAGATGGCAGAGAGAGGATGCAGTTGCTGGCTTGTCAGGCCTTTTAAGCTTCAGGTCTGATTTAATCTGACTCTTTTATGCTGCTTGGAATTTCTAGACGCACACTTGAGCAGACGCATCTCAATCTAGATGTCTGTCTTTCAGTCCTGCAGTAATTCCTCAGATCTTCCAAGTGCCCATCCTTTTTTGAAATTAAACTTCTACAGCTGTGGTCTGTAGAATGCCTCTGGAAGCATATCTTTTCCTTACTTTGTAGCTGAAGATATTTGTGAGCTGAAAGGCATGTAAAGGATTTTGGAAGGAAGAAATACAAAATGCGCATAGAAGTAACAGTCAGAATTTCCTTTTTTCATAATCACTGTGTGTGAAAGTTGTCTGGGACTGTTGGGAAGAGTTCTTTTGCCAAGCAGCACTGTATGCAAGCACACAAAGGGTTTATTTCCCTGTCTGCCATTGGGACCTTTGCACATTTTTGGGGATTTTTGCCATGAGAGACTTAAAGTGAGCATTGTGTCTTGCTACTGACCAGTGTTTGCTTTTCCCTGACCTCAGTTCTTCAGGTAAAGGTGCTTTGAGGTCACTGAATCTTCAAGAGCACCTTCTATCACAGGCAGAGTGCCCCAAGGAGCCTGTACTATAGATTCTATATGAATGAGCTCATAGAAGCCCAGTCATTGTTTGCTAATGAGAACTTCGAAACTGTTCTGTTTAGAACAGTTTAACCAACTGTTACCTGACAGTTTTTGGTCTTGACAGTCTTCTCGCCTCCAGTAGAAGATCTCTGTAACTTCTGTATTATTTTTTCCATTCTTTTGCTCAATGCCTCAGAAGGCTTTTACATTCTTTCTCCATATTGTAACTGTGACAAAGATGAATGACAGAAGCTTTATGTCAATCATTGCATGGAGGAGCAGCGGTCAGTTTCTGTTCTCATGTTTAACAGTTAAATCTTGAACAACAGCGGTGACACTATTGCGATGGCACAATTTGCACACTTCCTGGATTAGACATGGCTTGCTTAATTTTATTTTTTCTTCACAGAACCAAATACTTGAAATTAGAAAAGTGCAGTTGTCATTTTAATGTTGTTTTTTTTTCTGCATCTTAATGCAAAATTAAGGGAAGAATGCCTCCATTGGCATAAATAAGAAATACAGTCTTTGCCCAATGTGCTGAAAACGTGTTTTCATGGTTGCAGTACATTCATTCCCATTAACTCTCAGAACTCATTCATTGCAAAAACATTATCAGCAGGTAAAAACCTTTTACATTCGGACAGTAAAGGTCATTCTATGAAAGAGGAAACAAATCAGACCAACGATTACAATATTTTAGGGAAAGGGAAGGACAAAGCAACATGTCCCATATAAGTTTTTTCTTTTTTTTTTTTTTTTTTGTTTTTAAGATAATCTGTGGAGGAAGTCTAAAAATCCGTCAACGCTAGCAAAACTATGCCATAATGTGAGCTATTAAAATTAACATTTATATTAATTAAGTGGCAATTTAATCACATTTCCTTACTGATTCATTATAACTAAAGAAAGCTACAAAATTTGTATCAGAATATCTTTCTTAAGCCCTTTCAGACAGATTTACAAATCTTATGTCTGTGAGGTATAGATCTCAGTTCAATATGCTGTAGTTTTGGGTCTGCTGTGGTGCAGCGTTTATCTTTTTCTGTGGTTGCATTAAAGAACACAGTACCTCTGTTTGCATGCTAGTAGAGATGTTATTCAAACAAAAGCTTCCTTACTGTCACAGCAGTTAAAATTTCCCCTTTGTCTTCCTGAATATGGAAATTGGATTCCAAACTCCAGTGTGAAGCATCCGTGGACAGTACTGCTCATTAGAAATGAAGGAAGTATTTTTGCTCGCATGTGACACGTTTCTTCAAGTGGGGTGTTGGCAGCCTAATGTCACCTCGGTCCTCTGCCTGTCTCCTCTGAAGTTTGGAGACCAGAAGATGAAATGCGTGCAGCCAGTGACCAACTGTGGAAAAACTTGAGTGGCTGGTAGCAATGAGAGACTCACTGTGGTGTAGGCATAGAAGAAAAAGGGCGTTACTTAAAAGCAGCTGCTAAAAACAGAACAGAGCAGGCACGGGGGGTTGCAGGGGATGGCTTAAAAATAAGCAAAAAAGATGGGATTTTGTCAGTTTAACCTTGAACAAACTTAGTCCTGTCGAGACATAGTACCTAATCAGTTTGGTCTGAGAAAAAATTTCTTTTTTCTGTAATTGATCCAGTGGTGTTTAGATAAACAAGTGCTGTGGGCCAATCCAGAAATTAGGCTGACATCTGCTCTTTTCATCTGCAGTGTTTCAATAAAGAATGGGCAAGTGTGCAACTTCACATCCGAGGTTGGCATTAAGGATGCAGGGACTGAGCCACACTGAGCTCACACTAACACTGAGCCACAAACACCTGATGCTTTGTACACCAAGTGTGCTGGGTACAAGCCCAGTGCAAGTGTGAAAGTTGAGCAACACCTAGGATTCTCAACTATTTTGCCCACACATTCACTTATTCACATGCAAGCAGTTTAACAAGTACTTTGTAGAGAGACGTACAAAAAGAATACTTAATTCCCTTTGCTGCACCACAGGTTAGAGAGCTACTGTAGACAGAGAGATGCTTTACCTTGGGATTAGTTTAATTTCACCAATTCTGGTTGTTGGTTATGTTTGCTTTCAATTATTTTACTTAATTATAAAAATATTAACACATTTCCACATCTGGAAGTCTATGCACTTTTTGATCATGACTACTTAACCTAGAAACATTATTTAAGAGCACAAACAGAGAACTGGTGTGGTTTTCTAACAGTTTTCATCTCTGTCATCTAAAGAGTTGTATAAAACATAAAAGTATCTCAATCACAAATAAGATACTTTGCCTGAATGCTTAGAAACTATCAAACTATATAGAAAAACAGCTCTCTTGAAAGAATATAATTTGTTTGAGGTTTTTATTCCAAAATATTTATCCAATTCCAGCTAATGTGAGATAAAACTGTGTATAAGTTAAGTGCACTTACGAATCCTAAAAGCCATTGTTTGTTTCTTTCCCCATTTTGTAGTACTGGTATCCAACTGAAAGGCTTGGCAGCCCTCTGGAATAGCGTATGATGCATAAAGAACCTCTTCTGCTTGTTAGGAGTGTGTCAAAAGAATTGCAGATAGGAGAGGATCCTAATTCAGCAAAATAGGCACAAATAAGCAGCGACTTTAATACTACAGTAACACTCTTCCAAACCAAGAAAAGCTGTTGTATGCTGTAAGTTTAGGACTCAAGTTGCTATCTTTATTTATAAGTTGTTATTGTCTAGGAAAGTACTCGTCTTCCAACTGAACGTTTAATAAAACAAACAGAAGTCCTAGCTAAAATTTTGAAATGATTTATGGCATGTATAGAATTCTTCCACTAGAGGGTGGCAGTGCCTTGCCTTTTGTGAATTGCTTCTGTGGGCTTGTGTTTGTGCACGCTGAAAACAGTGCACAGGGGATGGATAAGGGAAGAACAGTGACTTTAGCATGATATCTGGGCTATGTAATAGTGTTACAATTCTTACTACAGGCTTTTCTGTTTCAGGTTATTTATATTTGGATCCTATGAAAAGGAAACAAATGTTCATTGCACAATGGAGCTGAGCAGTAGTGTTTGGGAAGAAAAATCAAGGAGTTCTATTAAAACGGTAAAATGGATATAATCTTTGTATGTTGCAGTGTGTCTTATGGTCTTACATTGTTTAGACAGTGAGCCTTCTGGGCAGTCAAATGGGTGATCTGGCAGGAAGAAAACACTGAAAACATAATGTTTTCTTTTTAATCCATAGTTTTTTGACTGTCAATTTGACATGTATGGATAGCATCGTGCTCAGTTATCACAACTGTGCTTGATAATTAATTTATGCAAATTAGGTTTCAAGCACATTTTCAACTGCTATCTGCATTAGAGCAAACAGTTTAAAATGTGCATTTGTAGACCTGTTGCCTTTGGGTGAGGCGATGTTTAGAGGTTCACCTGTCTTTCATTGTGCAGTAGTGTGTTCCTTTCTGACATGAATACTGAAGACATGCTCAAAGGGTAATTCATCACCAATTTCCTGTTTTTTGCCTACATTTTGACAAAATGTGGAGTGAATTGCTATGTATTTCTAACTTTTTCTAGAGTATGTGAACCCTACCATGTGTGCTAAAGAAAAATACTTTTAAAACTGTGCAAATATAGAACATAGTAGTATTAGTGGTATTGTGAGTTAATCTTTTACTATCATGCTCGATAACATGAATTTAACAGCACACAACCTACAAAACTCATTTCTTTTGCATATGTGTGAGGAATAATGTTGCCTCTCTTCTTCAAAACAAGAGGTGCAATATATGAGAGCCTTAACATTTCACATCAGTGATATTGTGGTAGTTATCAAATTGAACTTAGCCTGAGCAGAGTAAGTATTGTGCCTACTGAAAACAACAGAAGCTTTACAAAGACTTCATCTTAACAACTGGCTTCATAAAGAGAAATCACTGGAATGAAAATGAGTGTCATGCATTTTGCCTTCTACTGTCTGAGTTCTCTTAAGCTCTGTGCATTATATTTGACTGCAGTTCTGAAGTTCAGACTGTTTTCTTGCTGGAGCAACCAGAATCTGGAATATCTCCTCAATCTCTGTGATCAAATTCCATTTTGTGTTGCTTTTAAAACTCTGTGACAACAGCTGTGAAACTTGTTCTCAGCTTACTTATACTGTTATCCCTAAAAGCGTATGTGACTGAGCATCAGAAAGACAGTTGCTTCCCATTGTCTTAGCTGCTGTATTTTCAGTCAACTGAAAAATAGGAGTGGTTGCCCAGAGGTTCACTGTAGCTCCTTTAGCCACCTTGAGCATTCGTCACAAGCACCTTTCTGAGCACAGCATGCAGGAGGTGGGCAGGGAAGGCACAAGCAGGGAGGAAGCCAGTAGTTGGCACACAGGCAGAGAAACTGCTGAGGTTTTAAGTTTTGAAGATTTAAGAGCCTGGTTTGGCAGCCAAACATCACAGAAAACATTGGTAGTTCCTAGAGTTATCTCCATTTATACTAGCTCCCGGCACTGTGAGGGCTGTTTGGCTGTGAATTAGCTGTGTTAGCTCCCTGAGCTCATTTGCTGCATGTTAGCGTCTGTGCCAGAGCAATTTCAAAATGTGTTTTTGCCCTCTTGTTAGCGGGCAATGTGGCATTGGTGTGTTTGTGACAGCAGATGGCAGTAGAACTAAACTGGTGGTGGGTAGAAAGACACGTTTAAAACTGCAGAAAAGTACTTGGGCTCACGTTCTGTTTGAGCACCTGAAATGAAATGGCAGGTTTCTGATTTTTCCATCCTGAAGAATATGACTTGAGATGTAAGGAAGTTTGAGTAGCTGTGTCCTCTGCTGTCTCATCACTGCCTGCTGAAAGCAGTGGCTCCTCGGTGTGAGCTGTTGGATCTGTAGCTGCGCTGTCAGTGTGGGGAACTCATTGTGCTCAGTCACCTTGAATTTTATGCCACTGAAGAGGTAAACTAACTTTAGGATCCTGGTTCTAAAGATCTTGATTATGGTTGAATACTGAAACTAAAAGCTAGCACCGGGCAAAGCCAGTTTGCTATGCAACTTCTATTTATCATGTTTAATACAATCATGGGGGTCTCTTTTCCTTAGAAAATCAGTTCAATTATGCAAGTTAAGTTAAAAAATATTAGGAGACCTTCCTGGATAGCAAGAGAATTGCCAATTCCTTCAATAGAATTAGAACTGTTGCAAACATGCTCAGGTTTGGAACTGAGTTTTCTGAGAAATTGCAACTGTGTGAAGTCGCTCTTACATTAAATCCTTCTTTTAAATGACCATGTCTGCAATAATTAATTGAGATGAAGTTGTTAAAATGAATATCAGAAATTACGGAGAAGAAATGATAGATTAAGTTGAAGTGAAAAATAGTTCAGTAGATTCTGGTTTAAATGTTTGTTTTCTTGTAGTATCATATAGGCATGAGAATATATCCAATGAGGCAGGTAGCATTCTACAAAGTTCCTGAGGAAAATTCTCCTAACTTTCTGCACTTATTGGCATTTTCATTCTTTTTATTATATTAGTAGTAGTGATAAAAGATTAGACAGGTTTAATACTTCATAATAAAATTGGTGAGACTTTATTCTGATCCACTATTTATGGAATATTAGCAGATGTCAAAATTGCTTCTGAAAAAAAAGTGCTGTGTTAGTGAAGGTATCTGGATGATTACTGAAGTATCTGTTGTATTTCAAAGATGTTTCTTGCTTCTGAGCTATTTACCAAATCAGTCTGAAATACCAATAAAACTTCAGAGAAATGGTTTGGCACATTCCCATGTGATGTGTAAATATTCTTAAATACCTTAATTAGTACTGTTGCTGCTGGAATTAACGTTAATCACTGCACTGCTGTGGGAAAATTATTTATGGATAGGATATAGTCATTAGACAGCATTAGCAGCACTGGATTACTAGACAGGTGTTCCACAGCTAAAACTGTACTTATGTGTGTATCTAACTACTAGCCAGCACTTACAGACTGGGGGGGGGAAGGTTTTTATTGTTTGTGACAGTGTAGAGTAATAGAGGGAAGGGTCTGAACTGCAAGACGAAATGTATTGTTCTATGGGTTGTTGGGTTGTGGGTTTTTTTTGCTTTGTTTTTGTAATAGAAATTCAGAAGCATAAGATAATTGCTGTTGATTGTGAAATAAGGAAGCTGGATAATTTAAGACAGATACAAAGGAACATGTCTTAAATTCTGATTTCAAAGTATTAGGCTCCTTCAGGTTGCACTGCAGGAACGTCCACACTTCTGTCATCTTAAAGGCAGCAGTGTGGGTGGGAGGGTACTTTGATTGGGGTTTTACCTGCTTTTTTTTTTTTTAATAACATTTTTTCAAATCCCACTTGCTGTTTTCTGTGTACTTTCAGAGGTCAGCACCAAAGTAACTGAGGGTAAGGGCAGTGCCATCTGCTCAGTACGTTCTGAGTTTGTGTGTGCCCACATACACATACAGAGACCACAGTCTTTGCTGTTTCTGGGAGGTGATTCTGGCAGCTATGGGCTTCTACATGTGAATACAGTGGTAACTTGTGAAATTGTTTTAGGTAGGCTGATTGGTACATTTTAATAAAAACAAAATGGATATTTCTCGGTCTTTTGTAAAACTAAACTTGCTTTATCAAGGCTTATGGCAAACTAAAGGTATTCCAGTAGTGACACATAAATGTAAAACGAGTAATAATGTAAATCAAATTCAGCACCTTCTGAAATGAGTTGCCTGAGGATACTCAACAATAATGTCAAATTTTGAAGCAACTGTGAAACGTTAATTTGTAAATCCACAGAATTAAATGCCTCACAGTTGGCATTTCGGTCTGCTTGTTTAACAGTCTGCCATTTCAGCATTTAATCCTACCAAAAGAAAGAAGGAGGATTAAAGCAAGGGAAGCTTTTTCAAAATGTCACTTTTTATGAAAATTCATGATCTTGTAAAATTTGATAATATTAGTAAATTCAATGGGGAATAGTTCTGAGATTTGTGCCTTACATAACATTCTGTAATCCGTCTTTCAAATAAACTTGAAGGCCATCAGGATTTTTTTCTGGTTCACCTGAAACATTTAAGCTTTTTGGACTGGAGGCCTCAGAGCATTTCTGCTTCTCTGTGATTTAATGAGACCTTCTGTAGTGAGGGCCAAGTGTTGGGTCTGCATTTTGGTCACAACAACCTCAGACAGCCCTACAGGCTTGGGGTAGACTGGCTGGAAAGCAGCCTGATGGAAAGGGGCCTTGGTGTACTGATGGACAGTCGGCTGAATATGAGTGCCCAGCAGTGTGCCCAGGTGGCCAAGAAGGCCAATGGCATCCTGGCTTGGATCAGGAATGGTGTGGTGAGCAGGACTAGGGAAGTCATCCTGCTCCTGTACTCAGCACTGGCGAGGCCCCACCTAGAGTACTGTGTTCAGTTTTGGGCACCTCAGTACAGAAGGGACGTTGAGGTGCTGGAACAACAAGGCTTGTGAAGGGCTTGGAGAATATGCCCTCTGAGGAGAGACTGAAAAACTGGGCCTGTTTAGTCTGGGGAAAAGGAGGCTGAAGGGAGACCTTATTGCTCTCTTCCAGTACCTAAGAGGTGCTTACAGCGAGAGCAGGGTTGGTCTCATCTCACTGGTGACAGGTGACAGGATGAGGGGAAATGGCCTTAAGTTGTGCCAGGGTAAGTTTAGGTTGGATATCAGGAAAAACTTCTTTACAGAAAGGGTTGTGAAGCACTGGAATAGGCTGCCCAGGGAGGTGGTTGAGTCACCATCCCTGGATGTGTTTAAAAACCATTTGGATGTGGTGCTCAGGGACATGATTCAGTGGAGGGTTGTTTGAGGTAGGGTAGTATGGTTAGGTTATGATTGAACTCTATGATCTTCAAGGTCTTTTCCAACCTGAGCAATTCTATGAACTTTAAAACAAAAGCAAACAAAATTACTTTTTTGGTTCATGTGTATTCAGGTGGTCCAGAACAAAATGCTACTGCCACAGTCACAGTGTGACCTAATACTGCCTGCTTGTATGAAAATAAATAAAAATAATTCAGGAGATACACACCATGTTCTTGGGCATGCATATCCTGATTGAAAAGTAGAGTGCTCCACAGCCTGCTG